TTCTAAGAACTGGCTGCTATGTACTGTGCGAAATCAATCGATCTTGCAAGAATAAAATTTGGACATCCCTCTTCTAAGAATTCCAATTGAGTGTGTTAGTGTGGCCAGCTCAGGGCAATATGATATTATAAACACAGCACATATCACTCTCTGCTGTTTATAACTTCATAGGAAAGAAAACACGCCATCCATAACGGTTTGAATGAGGAAATCTCTTCCAAGAGCAACAGGATTTTGCTGCAAGACAGGCATATTTAATGATGACTTAACGCAGCTAAACTCGTGTCCCATTATATATAGAACTTCTGACAACAGGCCAGCGAAAAATCTAACAATCTACAGCAAAACCATCAATTATTATGGGCGTTATAACATAGGTGTGCAGCTGGACGAAACATAGACGTCGAACCCCCGCAGATGATTTAAATACCTTGACGAAACATACATGTCAAACCATGCTGAACGGTTAATTAATTCCTGGTACTCATTTCTGTTAGAGGCTGAGTAAACCCTAGGGCCTAGTGCGGCTGGAAGGATTAGGTCAATTGAAAAAAATCCAATGACCTCATCAGGATTTGAACCCGCGACCTTTAGTGCCAACTTTAGTGAACAGAGGGTGTTGCGCGGTCAGAGCAACAAATCCCCCCGCCGTTAATTTCGGTTTTCTAGACTGGAGCTGCTATTTCCTTGAAATAGCTCCTCAATTATCCTCACAAAGCTGAGTGGTCCCTGTTCCAGACCCACTACATCTCAGAAAATCTGGTAGCGCCGGGAATCAAACCTGGACCTCTGACCACTAGGCAACAGGGACAGTAAAATAAAATATTATTTGTAAATAACAAAGCCTGGATACTTGAGTCAGTACAGTGATGGGCTACAGGCTGGACAGCTGGAGTGCAATTCTCAGCACGGGTGAGAGATTTTTCTCTTCTCCATAGCGTCCAGACTGGTGCAGATGACCACCCAGTCTCCTATCCAATGGGTGCCAGGAGCTCTTTCCCTGGTTATAAAGCAGCAGGGGTATGAAACTGACCACTCACCTCCATCTATTTTTCATGGCATAGTGCTTAATTAAATAAGCACAGGGAAAAATTTACCTTACCTTCTATCTCTTAAATTACACAAAGTAACATACTTGTATCTGCCTGCAGCTTTAACTAGATGATAAGTGTCAACACCATCTGCTGTCATTGTGATGTCATCTGAAAGATAGGAAGGAAAACTAATAGTCATTTCACATTTCTGAACAGAAAAAATTAGTGAGAGAATAAAACTGTTCTTACTGCTTCATTCTTTCATTGACAATATTCTAATGCATGCAAAACTAGTCTATATCATTTATGCATTATGTTTCAGTAAGTTAGGAGCAGAAAGGGAACATAATCTTACTTCAGTCTACTGTTATCTGCACCAAGAAATTAATCCCCATTTGGAATACAATAGCAAAACAAGTATCAAAATTAATCCCTTAACCTGAGCTGCGAAGCCCGTAGCACATCTCTACACTGACTGAGCTACCCTGGCTGCCTCTATGAACACAAACCTATAAAAAATTAATACTTCAAACAAAGTATTCATTTCTAAAGAGTACGGTCTTCTGGGTTGTGATGCTGTGCAGTTCAGAGAAGTCTCAATGTTTCGGAGTAACGTACTGCCTCCACATTCTGGTTCGAGTGAGCCAAGCAAGAAACCAGCAAGAAGAAGGCAGCTAGTATCGTTCAAAACTGGCTCTGCCTGCTAGCTGCTTCATGCTTGGCTTATTCTTTAACCCTGAAGATGGACGCAACACATTTCTCCAAAACATCAGTCAACTTTCAACAGACTATATGCCATTATATCCCAGAAGCATCAGGCTCCGTTCAAACTCTTGCATCCTACAGAAAATAATTATTATAACCTATAAATGTAGGTCACTGTTGTGTGAACCTCTTCCTGTCAGCAGGCAATCAACTAATATCAGGTGTACAGGTAACATATTTCACAGTATCTTTGGATGTTCTCTATGTCAGATTGGGGTAGGAACTAGGGAGAAACTTTGAAGATAAAATCTGCATTTCTATACATAAACAATATGCAAAAAAATATTTGAAACAAAAATTGTAGGTCTGAATGAGATCTGTATTTCTGTCATGTGCTTACACTATATATGATTACCTGTTCTTTTCTAAAAATTAAGTTGTACTGAATCTTGACAGGGCCACGCAGTAGTGTAGTTGGTTGAGGCACTATACTACAAGCCAGAAGGTTGCAGGTTCAAGTCCTGATGAGGTGGATTATTTTCAATTTATCTAATCCTACCAGCCGCACTGTAGCACTGGGAGTGACTCAGCCTCTAACAGAAATGAGTACCAGGAATCTTCCTGCGGGCTAAAGGGCGGCTTGTGTGCAAGGCTGACGACCTTACTGCCATTTGTGAGCTGTTTGTCTAGAGAATGTGGGGCCCTCAACGTTTCACAGCCCTACGGACCTTCATGACCTGTTACAGGGATAGCTTTACCTTTCTACTGAATCTTGATGTGAAGTATGAATTATGTTTGACTGTTTCATTTATTCAGACCCATTTACCCAACATTTTTTATGCAAATCCAAACACCAAATCTTCATTGAATATGTTGACCAATTCTGGAGATGTCAATGTCACATAACATGCAGATACAGAAATGGACATGGCCACACCATTATGGATTAACTTTACTGGGCAAGGAATGCATAATAAAGCAGCATCAACTGCAGAGTTATTTAGCACCATAAGCGATGGATAATTATGTATACGTGATCATAAAAGATTGCTCAGGAATGGTCCAGCCCTATTTGAGACAGTGTTCTCAGAACGTCTTGGATGTACTGAAGGTAACTGAGGAAAACCATTAGAAATCTCAGTCTGGCTAGCTGGTAAATAAGTTAAATTCATAGTTCAAATGTGTTTCATAAAGTAGTTCCTATTGGACTGCAATAGAAACAAATGAAAACTATGACATTTTGATTACAATATCATGTGTTATACCACAGAGTATGCTCACCTCCATGAACACAGAAGTCACAATGATATTTATCCAGTGTTTCTAGGCTTGTGACATATGGAACTCCCTCCACCACTTCATCAACCCACTTGATGCCACGTACCATTTTGTATCTAAAAAAATTAAACATGACTAGCAATTTCTCTCCAATATTAACACTCTTGTTCTTTTTTCCTTTTTTAGTAATTATGTTCATCATCACCATCATCCTCAATGTAATTTAGTTACACAAATCTTTACATTTACTACAAAACTTCATTACACAACGGCAGCATTCTTATCTGACTCCTAAAGCTTTCTCCTAATAGTTATGAAACTGACTCAGTCATCAATTTATCCTGTATCTTTATCCTGCCTTTTTCCTAGACATTATCGTAGATTTTAATTTCTAAATAACTTCAGTATAGATTTTCTACCTGTTTCACAACAATGTTTGTTCACAGAGTAAAATATAATTATATTTGACGAATATAAAAATTGTAAATAATATAGTCAATGCTGTAACATTAAAGCAGCCAATTGTAAATACCTTTCTTCTTCTGTAAATACTGGGGGTCCCTTATGTTTAGTTATTTCATTGTCATTGTGGATTCCAACAATGAGGTAATCTCCGAGAGCTTTTGCTTGTCGTAATGAATTTGCATGTCCAAAATGGACCATATCATAGCTGAAATTTTATAAAAAAAAATCATGAGTATGATGCAATTATTATTATTCGTTCTCCAAATACGATCTATTGAATCGACATCACAACTCTGACAAGCAATTACAGTTCTTTAATTAAAACTGTAGAATTTAATGTCTGTTACACCCAACAACGTTCTGCTCCATGTTGGACCATTTACACTCCGCTAAATAAAATTATTACATATACAAAATACACTTCTCTGAACACCTCCAAAATATATCGAAAAATAATAATACAATAGGCCTACCACCCATCACACCAGACACGAACTGTTCTGCTCTTATCTTCAGACATTTCGGTAAATACATTTACGTCCCCTACTCGCAACCACTACAACCCATTCACATCACGCCTCCAAATCCTCAGGTCATGCAATTAACTCGTCACATAACCGCAGACACCGCAATTAGCTGGCTCAATTCGTGGCTCTTTCCACTGCCTTTGAAAACAACCAGGGTTTCCAACTATACGGACTACAAGTGCGAACGATGATAACTTGAATAACGAAAATCAGTAACTCCTGCAGCCGGCCTACGGGTAAGTTAGGTGCTGCCATCTAGTGAAGGTGCACTAGAGAACTAGAGAACTAGCGGTGTGTAACCGCCAGTTCAAGACATGAATAGTCACATGACATTAATATGGTAATACATTTATTTCCTACTTACTTCCGGTATTCGGGCGACTGTCGGAAATTCAAACATACTAGCATAATACTTCAATCACAAGATTGCACTGTAAGCGTACTTCTACAAGGCCATTACTGTCTAATGAATAGCCTTGCAATAAATCCATACACATAGTCAATCAGCACTTAATTCGGGCACATCACTAGGACTCCAACACAAAGTTTATCTACAGTTGCTTGGTTGGATCTCCTACACATAGTGTAGGTTGGGTTATTGCTATTCAGAATCGTTCATTGTTTGACACATCCATACAATGTTTCAAACATTGCTCACTTTTCTTCATATGTGAAGAAGAGTTTCATATTGTAATTTTTATTCTATGTTACCACTTTCTTGCTTTCGTTTCAAGTCCCTTATATAGTTGCATCATGATAACAAACACAGGAACACTATAGATTTTGTACTTACATATCTACTGCAATAATGTATCGGGAAACCTCAAATCACAAATATACTGAGTACTGAAAATTGCATACACATGTTGCTATTTAACTGAATAAAACACAAACTTTAGTCATTAAAATATGCATTTCAGAGAAAGTATTATATTATGATCTCTTTTAACTTTTAATGTAAAAACATCCTTCAGTATACATATGGTCTATATATGCAAACTTATACAGAATTGTTTAAATGATTCACAATTTGCCTCTGTTATGAATTAAGTTTGTCCACCTCTAGTGATCTTGATTGATCTTGATAATAAACATGTACCAAAATCTGCTTCCGGAAATTCCAAGCTTGTGTCCATAACATTACCATATATACCATACGAACAAGTATTGATTAATATTAATATATATATAATATTAGTTGTACATATTTTTTGTGGACATACATGGCGATTAAATTCGTCAACACGGCCTGTAACAGGTTCTTCACTCAACATCGACTATGGTTTCATCAAGTGGAGATTTTGAAACACTAGCCAGAGCTCTCAAGTGTGCTATCTGATAAGTCATCTACATTTGCTCATCTACGTCTGCTGTACCTAAGGTTTGAGTACAGCTATTGGCAACTGCTCTGCCAAGTACAGCATCACCATCCCACCAAGTACCTAAGCTTCTAAAGGTGATTCCAAGTTCTGACATTATATAATGTTAAGAGAAAGTAGTGAACATAGGTCCCAAACATGTATTTGTATTTATAGGTCTTAGATGCCAAGTACAATAAAATTCTTGCATGATTTTGCATTGAAATTAAAACACTATGAGTAATGAAGATCTGATTTATGTGTGCACTCTCAAAGGTGCTACTTCTTGACATGGACAATCACCCACCACCCATAGACAGCGCACAAAGCCACAGCACACAGAAAATAATCCTCAATTGCAAGAAGACCATATTGGTTCAAAACATGTTGTAGAAGTGACATTTATAAAAGTCTGACAATGTAGCACACAAACTGCCTATGAGCACAACAAGAAGCTGCACCTTCAAGACTGTACACACATATAAAATCATTAACCACTAACATAAGATCTGAAATATAAACTAATAAATAACCATTACTGTTATATATTTGTTTATTCATATCCATAAATATTACACTTCAAATTATTGGAAAGCAGTTTTACTTTACAATTATATCATGTTACATAAAAGCTCAGTGAAAAATATATGTATTATGGATTATACAACAAAAACTCAAGTGTAACGCAGTTTTGTAAGAGTTACATGGTCTTCAAGAAAATATGAAGTTACTAGCATTAATTTGTTAGCATATGGATAATAACTACAGATAGAATTGTGACTCCAACTAAGGTCTTTGCAGACAGAGTATAGTATCAATTTTAGGCATGGCCAATGTCACCTGAACACAGAGTAGATCTGATCTAGTTCACTGAGAGAGAGTAGGTATCAAAGGGCTGTGTGGTTTAGCCAAGCAGAGGCAGTGAGAGTGTCAACATATTTCCCTGCTATGCATCACAGTTCTCTTTTTCAGTTCTTTGTTCAGACATACCACATCTCTCTACATTCCTATAGTCTTATGTGCACACCAGTAGTCATGACTAAAAAGACAAACAGTAATTGAATCTGTTGTTATAAATGCAATTCGTCATTGAAATTAAATCTAAACCTGCAAATAGTCTGCAACACTTTTGAACCAGTTACATTAATTCAGTCCTTTGCATCAGCAATTCCACCCGCTGTTATAGCAAATGTAGCTTCACTCTCAGGCAAGTCTGGGCTGCAGTAACAAAGAAAACATATTTCTAATTCTTAAAAAACCATTAACAGTAATGAATTCTTTAATGAAAATGAATAAAAAAATGTTACATAAATATATTATACAAAGAAAATTTCAGGGATTCAGGATTACTGAGTTGTTTTCTATAACAACAACAACAACAATATTAATAACAACAATAATGACAATAATAATAACAACAACAACAACAATAACAATAATAATGTAAGATTTACAAAATCCTACTTTTATTTATATATACAATTATTCTCATGTAAAGAAAACTAACCTGTCATATATTTTAGCAATTCTTGTCTCACCTCTTCCCTTCCTTAAAGAAACTCGAGTGGTAGAAGCATGAGCTAAAATATTGCCTCCAATAGGCTTTTTTGGATCAGCCTGAAACAAATTAATACAGATGATAAATTCTATACAAATTTCACTACTCTGAAGCACAGGTACCTAACAAATATGCTAGTGTGGTCATTGGAAAAAAAATTATGTGAAGGTAGATGAATAGAGTACAGAATTACATTCATCATCAACATCATCCACCAATGTTCTTTTTTTTTTATGACAAAGCCTTCTCCATTCTTCTTAATTTTCCCTAAGTGCTGTCCTTGTGTGAAGGGCACTCAGGTAGATAGAAATAGTGATATAAATAATAGTATAAAAGTATGACTCAGTGGAGACCCTTAAAATGCTGAATTATGACTTTTTCTGTCCCAGGTTCCTGCTATTTCAGCAATTGTTTCAGTGCTGTCTTCACATCATCATCATCATCATCATCATCATCATCATCATCCTCATTGTCGTTGTCAACATCAGTTTAAGCTGCCCAGTGAAGTTTGTTTTTAATTTCTTTTAATTCAAATTTATGGTTAAAGACCAAGGACAGAGCAGTTAGTAACAGAATCTTAACTGCATGGAGTTAACTGTGAGAAAATCCAGTGTGAAAATTGTGTAAAATATTGGAGCACATGTATTTACAATGCAGTTCAACCAATACAGTAAGTGAACAGTTGAATAGTACATTAAATTTCAATGCTGAAAATGATGACCTAGAATAGAACTCAACTCACCTGAAGTTTGGAAGGTTGCACAATAATTCTCATTTATTGAGGGTAAGTTGTGATGGGAATAAGAAGAAGGGAAAGCGGGGAATGGTGTATTGTCTGTGGGAGACTGGCCTGCGCGGAGAACTTGGGGAGGCTTTGGTTCTGGCTGGGGGGAGAACACAAATCTCCTTAGGGAGCTGTTACTACTGCATCTGGCTCTAATGATTTCTGCAGGATTTGTATGGTTGTGGCATCATCTTGGCTACTTACGTGTATGGATAACATTTTTTGCTGTAGGGCTCAGCTGGTTGAACTTCTGATGCAAACTACTTCTGTGGCTTCACAAACGACCCTACTGGTGCTGTGGGGTGGCTTCTTTAATGCCATTGTGTATTCAAAGTGTATCTTGTGTCCCTGGTTGATTAAATTTCCTGCCATTGCTGAGCAATCCAGATGACAAAACCGAAAATCTCTCTGGTGCTCCTTAATGTAATCTTCGATCAAATGACCTGCCTCAACTCTGAAGATAGCTTCACATTTGCCTGAAGTCTTGTAGAGCCCTGGAACATTTAAACCCAGGCTGTCCCCCACCAGCCTGAAGGCTCCATAGTTTGGGCAGTATTACATATATAGTTTTCATGTTGTACTGCGCCTTAATTTGCTGACATGGTCGAATAGATTCTGTACATATGGTAGAAAGGCTGTGTTGATAGGTTCTGCTTGCTTTCTGTCCTCCTGGTGCAGAGTCCTCTGTGGACATGCCCAGGGGAAATATCAGTTCTTCTTGAATATTCTTTTGAGGTGAAAATTGTAATGAAGGAATGTAAAGCCTTAGGAGTGGATGTAGAAGACCTAGCAATGAGGTTCACACAATCAAGGGAACAATGATATTCCTTTTAACCAACATACAATAATCCCTTCCCTGAATCTTTTGTTGTAACTCTGAAAGCAGAGACTCATAAGTGAATATGAGACAAATAAACATTTGATAATTTAAAGATTCATATAAAATAAATTAACCTGGAACATAAGAGTAGCCCCTGGGTCAGCAGTCATCTGATTTGTTATGAATACTGCTACATTGTATTCCTCTGATATTTTCTGCAGTCGAGACATTAACTGTGCCAGCTTCTGCTGCCTGTCCGCCAACTCTCCTCGTCCACTGAAATCTACTCGGAACAGCGCCATCACTGAATCTACAATCTGAAAAATCAAGTAGCCTCAAGTACATGTCTTAGATAATGTCAATTTTCATCTCACTTCTCTTATGGAAGTCAGTATTTGAAAAGGTCCATGCTCTGTGATTTGTATTCTTATTCATAGTTCCACATTTTTAATTCAGTCCTTCCTGACAATTAATAATGTTGTTCTTGAACTGGTCATTCTTACTTACTTATTCATGGAGCTGAGCCATTCTTGAGGATCCACCAATTCTGCAGCTACTAAAGAATTTCCCAGCATTTTATGGAACCCAAAGGTTCATTACTGTGTTCACAACAGCCCTCCACTGGTCCCTATCCTAAGCCAGATCACTTCAATCTATACCATCCCATCCTATCTCTCTAAGACCCATTTTAATATTGTTCACCCACCTATGCCGGTGGTCTCTTTCCTTCTGGCTTTCCCACCAATATCCTATACGCATTTGTAGTTTCCCCTATTTGTGCTACATACCCTGCCCACTTCATTCTCCTCGACTTGATCATTATAGTTTTGTATATTCTAATTTTTATGTTTTCGGACAGCAGATGAGAAGACAAAAGTTCTGGACAGAATGGTAGCAAGCATTATCCGAGTTAAATCTCCTCTTAATTTCTTCCTGCATCAGGTTTTGATTTGTTATTGTTGTTCCGAACTCTCTGAACTGTGTCACATTTTCATACTATACACACAATATCTGTCCACAGATCCTGCTTGAATCTCTTCTGAAAATGTTTGACATGATTTAGGGATGAAAATGATAGCATATTAAATTAAATAAACTTATGAGTCCTGAAAAACTTTTCCAGAAAAATACTGGGCAACAGACTGAAATAAAGAAGCAGTTTCACAGACACAGAATCTCTGAAAAATTTAATATAGATTAATAAGTAACAGTTAATTCTTCAAAACATGTACGAAATAAATAATATTTTTGTAACTTACCAGCAATTTGAAGACACCTGCCTCTTCATGAAATTTTGCAGCGACGTAGTCCAGGAGGTCATACTGATGTTCACTTGTATAAGCCCGGGCATACAGAACATTGTCTAGCACAGCTGATTGATCAAGATTGAATCTATCTGCAATACTCCGTAGACGGTTTGGACGACTAGAGTTAAAAAGTTATGGAAAACCAATCAGTAAAACCCAGTACTTTTATGTAGTGTGTTTTGTCACCATCCTTCGCTGCGTTAGAAGGTTCAGGTGACTTGTTACAGTTATCACAGAACTGAATATTTTCATTTGAATGAGGATCTTCCAAAGTATTTTCAGCCTCTGGTTGATATTTTACAATTCTGGGAATAGAGGGGGGAGGGATTCTGTTACATCATAGAAAGCATCCCCAATAACCTTTTCTATACAAGCATTTTCCTCAATTTTCTCATGGGATACCGTGTCTTAATTCTACTTAAGTGACCAATTCACAGTGCCAGTGGTACATTAATGCTGCAGAAAATGCCAACATACAAATCCTGCCCGAAGTAACCGTGCTGCTGGAATTCCCATTTTTTGACTGCAAAAGTCATCCATCATCAACATCATCATCATCATCATCATCATCATCATCATCATCATCATCATCATCACCACCACCACCATCATCATCATCATCATCATCATCAAACAGCCAGGCCTGTCTATTCAATCGTGGTTTTGACCATCTGGTTTTCACTTCTTTGGATTTCACAACAGTATATTTTTTCACTGAGCAAGGTAGTCAGCCTTGTGCCCAATTCCCAATTTGGAGTACCAGATCTCTGCATTTATGTCCTCCAGTTATAGGATGGCCCAGTTATACACTCAGGCACTAGGTTCCCTACTCATCACCTTTCTACGACTTGCAGGGCTGTGATGGAAATATTCCAGCCTGCCTCCACACAGGACAAAAGTCAGCCATCAGGGACTTGTAATAAGATTAATAGTTGTACTCGTACATAAACAGAATCAGGTTGATTATAATTACAAAAATTTAGCTCTATGTTTTATAATGACTGATGCCTGAGTCTTCAGTTACTTAACAAAACTTTTCAATTATGTAACTTATACAGTACCAAATGATAAGATATTTGTGAATAACAAATGTTATGCGCAACAAAACATCATTGTCTATATTAAGGCACTATTTTACAGTTGCCTCAGGACACTGAAGAAAACCATGAAAAGTTTCAATTATGATATCTAAGCTCTGAGCCAGTATTTTAATCTGGTGCCTGCCTATTATGAAGCAGAAGAGGCATTTGGCAAGTGCTTCATTTAAAAGTTAAAAACATGTGTTAGCTTAACCTTGTTTATTCATACACCTGTCGGAATTCATTTACAAGTCACACAAATTGCCCTTTATGAACTTCAGCATTAGCATATCTTAACAGAATTACAATAAATGAGAAGTCATTTCATATGAAGTTATGGATGGATGAAATGACAATGGAGCAAATGTTTCTGTGACTGCCTATTGCCATCCTCTCATAATCATCATTCTATCACTGTTCCATACTCATCAATCAGTACTCTCTGAGATGTGAGATAGCTATGACCAGGCAACACATCATATCCTGTTTCAAATTTGGTGTCTTCTTCCATCACATGCCACTTGAATGGTTCCAGAGTAAGAAAGTTAAGCATTTTTTAAGTTATGTTTGGTTACTACATTGACTGCCATGTTACAATTTAAGAATTCTCTTCCAGATGCCATCTGCAGTGGTTATCTGTAATTTAATTTAGGTATATAATATGGTCACAGGTGACAATCTTATGTGTAACTTGTCTATCTGAAATGGTTTATAGGGTGTTCTCCACAGGGGGTCATGTGCCATGTAATGTATGCATGTCACAGACTTGTTAATCAGGTTGCTACTTTATTTGATGTCCCATAAAATTCTGACTGGTTATCAGGTTTGCTGTGTGCAATTTCTGATGGACAGAACAGGCTTGGTGCAGGTGTCCCTTGTGTTCTCATATTTTAGTTATGTTTTCCAATCAATTTCTCAGCTCTACATTTTCATTCATGGTACCTCAGTAATATTAAAAAGGCTTTTAAACATCCTGTCTTCTGACTTCCATTTAGCAGTGTCTGGTTCAAATATCAGCTGTATTATTACTTATCATGACTGTAGCGGCCTCCATAGTCTAGAGGTAACGTTCCCACCTCATGACTCATAGTACGCGGGTTCAAATACCCGGCGGAGGTCGTCGAATTTTTAAGGGCGGAAAAATTCAGGGAACAAGTCCTCCGGGAGGGACTTTAAGCCGTGGGTCCCGTGTTGTAGCTTTACGGCACGTAAAAGAACCTCATATCTCCAAAGGAGGTCACTGAGCCAAATTAACGGGCGTTTACTGCCCAACAGCAGTCTCTAATACCTCTGGTAGAGGGGGGAAGCATTATAGATACCTCTCAGCTAGTAGAGCTGGTCTCGCTGGGCGGGACTGATGGTAAGCACCAGTACTGGTAGGATATAGAGACTGGTAGAAATCATAGAGGGAAGCACAATGGACCAATACAGGTCTCAGTGCATGGGGAAATCCACCCTCTCCAATAACTAACTAACTAACTAACTAACTATCCTGACTGTGGTTTTTCATCGTTTACCTTAGTTCCTGCAGGAGAATGCGAGAATAGTACTTGAAATTAGGTCATGACCACTTGTTTGCAGACCTTTTCCAATTCATTATTTACTACAGTCATGTAATTCAGCACAATATGGTCTGAGCTACTGACAGGTCTGTAGTATGTATGTGTATGTGTGTGAGGAGTGGGCCATAAAATCCAACCCTTGCACTGTGACCTTCAATGATCTATTGTGCTTCCTCTTTGGATTAACCCTTTATTAATCCTAAACTTTTAATGAAATTTAGGACTTTATTTATGGGGGCGTCATAAAAGTCACTTGGTTCCATGAAAACTGACCCAGATGACGAAATCTTAAGTAAGCTATGGCCTCACAATCACATGGATATGTGTGGCTGATTCGTCTTCTTGCAGGCACCTTTCACAGGTTGGGTCATTTGTCAGTCCCAGTTTGAAAAGGTGCCCTTTTAGGTGGCAGTGTCCAGTAAGTAATCCTACCACCCATTTTAATTAATCTCTGACAGGTCTGTTAAATAAACCTTGAATAAGAAATATAAATGTAACAGCCTATCAATCATCTTTTCCTACTTTAACCACAGATCATAATCATTCTTGCACACAGCACATATCCATAAGGCACATTCAAAATTAAAAAGGAGAGAAACACATAAGAAATACAAAATAAGCAAGGAAGGAGAATCATGTTAACTTCCCAAAAGTGGACCAATTATATCGATATGTTTCTAATGCTAACCATCAACACTTCCTGAAAACCCACCAGAATTGTATTTAATATAGATTAAAACCGTTTATTTCTTCCTCCTTCCTACTCTGCTCTAATCATTCTCTCATCTAAACAATAACAATTAAACACGGCAGCTGATACAGCTTTGATGGAGAGAGGTTATTTAGTGTTGGGCAGTATGAGAAGATCGTCAAATTTGACAAACTTAAGATAATGGAGAGGAAGTGGTAATGATTTACTTCTAGGTAGTATATCAGAATTTGTCTGCAGGAAGACTGAGAACCACAAAGATCTTAGTTCAAACGGTCAATGTGCCAGCCAAGATTCCAGTCAGTACCACTTGAGGTAACTCAGTAATACAGCACTGTTACATGATATCAGTAATAGGAAAGGATACAAAGTATGCTCAGTATCAAGGAAAATGACTTTTCCACCCATATAGTCATTTTCTCCAGGCATCTGAGCCGAGACACACAGTGTGTGTGATAGCTGTGTCTTGCCTGTGCGGAATTCACCAAACACCTCAGTGATAGCCATGGATTCAATGCCACCTCCAAGAAGCTTGCTGTAAAAATAATTTCCACAATTAAATGTGCACAACACTCAGAACTGCAATTACGGAGAAGTACTGCCATTTAAAAAATTCGTGCTGTAGAGAGATTTCAGGTTCTCACAGCAATTAAGACAAAGAGTACTGACATCTGGAATGTAACGCCGTGTAGTCTGTTTGAAAGTTACCACTGTTTTGGAGGACCCTGTTGCCTCCATCTTCAGGACATAAGATGAAGCCAGCAGTTTCTTCCAAAAGTTTGTGTTTCCTGTTGGACTATATAGTGTCACATTAGAGATGAAAATAATTTCAGCATGTAGTGGTTAGCACATGTGCTTCACATGCAGAAGTCCGAAGCTTGATTCACAACTCAGGCCTAGATATCTAGTTGAGGATTCCTTATAGATTATTTATCCTCACTATGCATATATTGAGTACAGCTGAAGAAATATCGTTAAATACACTGAAAGCATATAAAAAATTTCTGATAACATATAGCAGGCATGTCCAACGTGTTGATCGCCGGACGATTTTTGGTTGATCTCATAGGCCGATAAGGAAATTATACATGAAAAGCATGTATATTCACTTGTAATATAAAATAAGAAAGAGATCATAGCTACTATTCAAGATCTTCAATTATCAAGAAACACCATTGTGCAGCGAATAGAAATGATGTGTGAAAACAGAACTGAACAGTTGCTGAAAAATGTTTCCAATTGTCTTGCTTTCTCCCTCCAACTGGATAAATCTACAGACATCAGAGACATGACCCAGTTACTAGTTGCTTTGGTCGCGCCATAGCTCAAGCGGTTAGTCACTGGCTTTCCACCGTGGCGGCCCAAGTTTGATCCCGCGTCTGGTAAAGTGGAATTTGTGGTGGACAAAGTGGCGCTGGGGCGGGTTTTCTCCGAGTACTTTGGTTTCCCTTGCCAATCTTTATTCCACCATTTGCTCCACAATCACCCTCACCCATCATCTGGGGCTAGTACAATAGACCAGAAGTTGCCGCAGTACAAGGGACTTAGTCCCACCCCACTAGCAATAAAAAAAATACTAGTTGCTTTTACAACAAACATCATATGTCATGTTATTTTTACCAATATTTTTGCTTAAAGTGAGTTACGAAAATAGGAAGGGGTACTAGATCACTGGCAGTTTTGACATTAAAAAGTCGATCACAACCTGTTTGAAGTTGGACATGCCTGACATATAAGAGAGAATTGGCAAATGATTAAGCACCATTAATAAACAAAGTGACAGTGTAAAAACAAAGCCCTTATAGTGTTCATTCTCACAGCTATTGAATAATGAGGTAAATGTTATTAAGACAAAAATGTAGAAGATAATCTCTTGGTAAAATGATTAAAAGCCCAAAGCTTATCCTCAAAAGTTTTAATTTCTTAAAAGTTGAAAAAGAAATTGAAATATTATGACTTATCAGTGTGAGGTCAGAAACTAGATTTACTACTTTGTCTAAGAAATGATAAATCCTAGCATTTATATTTACAGTCCTATTGTGCCATGAAGGCCATTTTGTTTTGGTTGCCCTGAAAGCATGATATATTCTACTGAATATAAGAATACCAGATGTTACATGCTTCATACATTAACTATGAAGCAAAATTGTCCAGATACAAATAAGAGACATAATGATCAGTCACAAGTCTATCACAATATAAGAGTAAATTCTATGCACATCTATAGTTCTACCCTCACTACCTCCCAGTCTGCTGATAATTCCTGAACTCATGGCCTTGTTTTTCCTCCATACTCTTATCTCCCCCCTCTCTCCACAGGATATAGGCCACCATAATCTAATGAGACAATAATCAAACTTATACATTATCTTAAAAGTCTTACTCCAGTTCCTGGCTGCCAGTACTTAAACGAAACACCTGTTTCCGTTGATCACTAACTTGAAGTGCTGTAAGGAAGATCCCTGTATCAACTTTAGCACATGCTTCCTTTATTTTATCTACTTTGGCTTCTGAAAATCCCCGTATATTACATAACTTCTTGCGAGTACACATCTGAATGCCTTTAATGGTGCATATACCAGAAGATTTTAATTTTTTTATGTCTGCAACATTCTGAAACAAACACAGGATATTGTTGTTAGAAATTCCATAGATCATGTCAAAATTCCTTCAATAGGCCAATGAGAATATGGCATACTCTATGACATTGTCAGTAACTCTGACTATACAGCACCTTAGGGTAGAATAATTAGCAAATGAGCTGGAAAGGATTTGGAGGGAAGTGGTCATGGTCTATTCAAGGTAATATCCCAGGATTTACCTGGAGAGACAGAATAAAATCATGAAAAACCTCAGTAAGGATAGCTGGTGTCCTGGTCAATATCAAAGCAAGCACCTACAGGATACAAGACTGGAGCAACACTGCTTTACTAACTTATTCAGCAAAATGTGATGCGAACCACTGGTCAGCAACTTAACTGGTCAAGGTCCAAAACTGATTCTAATGAACGATTTTTTAAGTAAGTTCTGATGGTATTCTGGGTGGAATGGGCATACTGAAGCACTACTCACAGTTCAGCAGTGGGGGACCACCAGTTCTTATTGTTCTACTTGTAACAGGATAACTAAATGTTTACTAGTATCTAACCAGTTTAGTAAAAATATATGGTGCGAATGTGTAGATACACTTTGGGGTGTTAATGAATTCAAACTCCCAACAAAGTGACTGGTACAATGTGGTAGGAAATATTTTTAAAGGTAAAACTATTAACATTAAGTAAGAGAGAATAGTCAACCTTCTGAGCACAGCTGAGACAGATGGAGAGTAATTGAGGTACACTATTTAGATACAATATCATAACAAGAAGAAACAGTATAATAACTTAGTGAAAATTGTTAATTTTATTTGGTACACACTGTATATGCTGTGATTCCTATTTTATATCCAGCATATAAAATCACCCCTCCCTCAAAAATACCTACTGACCTATCAGTTTCATACAAGACACAGGAAATTCTTCATAGCCCACGGACTGTGATAGCTCTGTAATAAAATATCTAACTCATGATTGGGATATATGAAACTTGATATGAGAGATGACTAACACATCTGAGAGTTTGAATGGCTTTTCTCATGAAAATAATAGGAGAGTAACTTAAGTACAAGACCTACTAACCATCTGAGCTGTCTTTAAAAAATTATAGTACTTTACATATATCATGATGGTACATAATATCATCAATTAAAACTGAAGAGTAAACTAGCTGGAAAATTAATATCTTCTCCACTTTCTACTTTCTTAGATACTAGTAATGAGTTTGGCCTACTATATCTAAGAGTGCAGAAAATTAAGTATATGTTGGTTTCTGCTTACCACAGTGTACAAGAAAATCATATGAAGATAAGAAATCCTTCAAAAATATGTTACAAAGTTCAAACACACTGAAATACCAATACTAAATCAAAATTATGCTAAAAATAAATTAAGAGCAAACTAAATTTGAGGGGTGCAGCCTACCATTCAGTTTAGAGTAAAGTATACAAAACAATAATTTTAGTTTTTGTTTCAGAAAAGGGTGAGAATTTGTCTAACACTCTAAGCAAATGGCACAGATTAACAGTGTTTCAGATTGGACAAACTTGCACAAGAATTGATATGTTGGGATTTTGGACTTTATCCATCGTCCTGGTTTTTAAGATAACAAATAAAAACCAGGACGATGGATAAAGTCCAAAATCCCAACATATCAGTGTGTTATACACCATCGTCAGAATCCTATAGTAACTACTTGCACAAGAATTGTTTCATTATTTGTATCCTCCACCAAATATTATAAGGATGACTATATCATGGAGGGTTAGATGACAGTTCAAGTAGCTTTTATGGAAGTAATAAATGCACATAAAAGTTTAATCGGAAAACCTGAAAAGAAAATAACACTTGTGATGCCTAGGCACAGTTGAGGAGATATTAAACATATCCAGAAGAAAAAAGGTTTGAGAGTGTGGAATAGATTAATTTTAGCTCAGGATAGAGATCAATGAACATAGCAACGAGCCTTTAAGTTCTATGAAAAGTAGGGAATTCCTCGACAAGTTGAGTGACTATTGTCTTTTCAAGATTTCTTTTTGCAATGTGGAGTTAGTTATTCAGCTTACTATTCCATAAGACTGAAGCATATCAACATCTTGAAAAAAGCTATCTTCTTCCACCTCGTCGTAAATATCTCCTACAACAACTTGGTCTCCCATGGTGTAATTTGCAGGTATTTTTTAGGTAATCGTTATATCGGCAAAGCTATATATTCAGAACAACCGCGTCACATTCACTGACAACTTCTGCCGCCAGAGTCCACTAAGAGTAACAACCTTATCTAACAACGTCTTTGGGGTCTTAGGCGTCCGTTTGGTACAGTTAGGTGGCCGCTGATGGTCGCTGGCGTCGCTAGTTTTGAGTTGACACAACATCAAATATGGCGTCCTCCACGGTGAGATACACGTATATTGATGTATTTTACATTTGTTACCGTAAACCCGAAAGACAAATAGTAAACATGATTTTGATTTATTATTGGCATACTTACCATGAAATGTTAATGAAATAGGATAACATTAATGTCTCTTGCTGTAGGTATCTGTGAATGTCTGTTAAATTCCACTTGGCAATGAAACGTTGCAGAATTATATCAAACATCAGTACACGTTCATATTAATACAAAATAAAAAAAAAATCTAATAATAAGCTGTCAGTTTGAAGGTTCGTTAAAAATCTGAAACATTTATAATTTTAGGCACCACTTTTGGATGATGACACGCTGGAGTTCGGGGAGGAGGAGGAGGTACAAACAAATAGCAAATCGCTGAAGTAAGTAACAGATTATTCATGATTAGTATAAACAATTTAAAATTATACTGAAGTGTTAACATAATGTATGGCTGTTTTCATATAGTGTGCAACCCGTTGTGTGTCACAGCTATAGGATTAGGTAACGCATCTGTTAACACAATGGATACATTACCTAACTGTATAACGTATGGCATCGTTTTGGTTTTAGGATCCAGTTTTACAGTTTTAAAATATTCTTGCATATCACATGCAAATAATGCGTGTTGTTATGCAGCCCATACATAAGGAAGTTTATACATATTGCTGTGTCAATTTTAAGATCTGTAACCTTAAAAATATGAAAAATTCTTAACCTTAAAAGACATTCTTGTGAATGATCATAACAATATTGAAGACTGGGTTTAAAAAAAAATAACATTGCCTTTTGTTTCATTGCATTTCAGACATCCATATGTAACATTTTTCCACCTGGCCTTCAGAGTATCAGCAGTTCTGGTATATATGCTATGTGGCTTGTTTAAGAATAGTTTCATTGCAAGTTTTGTTACTGTTGTCCTTCTTCTGTCAATGGATTTTTGGACAGTAAAGAATATAACAGGTATGTGTGTTTTTCATCACATTTCTGTCACAATTATGACACCTTTTTAGTGCAGTTTTGTATTATTAATCATACTTTATCTTCATGAATTTGTTATTGAAATTTTTTATGATGCTGGTAATGGAGTTTGCAGTGTAATATGAGAAGTATGAATACTGAGATAAGTATTCACTAATTTCTGTTTCTTAACATTCCATACATTCAGTATTTCAGTTACAAATACCACAGCCATTATCTAAGTAAAGGTAAAAGGTAAAATTGTCTGTACCTAATTAATTAAGCTACAAGCCATGAACATGTCTGTGGGAGTGGAGGTATAGCTCCATATATTCATAACCTCAGCACTTCTTGGAGGTGAGTGATGAACTTCACTTCCTGGCCACTTTTCTCATGAGGAAGGGGCCCCATTGTATAGGAGTCTGGCTAGGCCTTAGTAGCAGTCTGAATCCTTAAATATTAGGCCAATGGCTTGTAACAACTTCTGTGAATTCCATCTTCTGCATTTTCTACCAGGATCCCTTCTTTCTTTAGGCCCATACCAAAGATTCTGTTTTGGCACTTGGCCTTCTTCCATCCTTTGTACATGTTTGAGCCTATCTTATACAATTCTTAGATTATTTGACAATTATTTTGCAGCTACTTAGGTTATATAGTTTATTTATTTATTTATTTACTTCATATCCATGGATCATTATACATGATATAGGACAAGTCAAATACTTTGCAATAATAAATAATAATAATATAATGATATAATATAATAATATTCTAAGATAATACAATGGTGATTCTAATAATATAACTGATATAATCGTTGAGCACATGACACCACTGTTATCCTGGCACAAAATACCCTGGTATCCTCGATCTCGTTCCTGTAAGAAAAAAATACAGAGTAGGGCAGTAGGCATTCCTATAACATGTACTAATATTAAAATCTACAAGTTAATTATTCTTGAAATATATGTTTACAAGTGATTAGAACTAGGATTTGTCCCCAAACAAGAGAAACTTGTCTATACTATAGAAACAATGATCAAGTAGGAATGTCTTTGAAGTCTTTTTAAACTTGTATAGTACTGGTATATCTTTAATATATTGTGGCAACTGATTTAACATACGAAGTCCAATATTACTGAAATTGTTTTTGTATAGACTTGTATTACATGGCATTATGAACAAGTCCTCTTTTCACCTTGTGTTGTGCGAGTCTATTCCTGAATTGGTTATGAAAACATTCAAATTGGTTTTTATGTAAACTAGAATTTCATATATATACAGACATGGTAAAGGTAATATATGTAATGATTTAAAATATTGTTTACAATTAACGGTTTTCAGGATTTGTATCATAGCTCTAATAGCCCTCTTCAGCAACCTAAAAATCAATTTTGCATTTCCTGAATTGCCCCAAAATATCAGTCCATATAATAACAAGGATTGAAAATAAGCATAATATAAGGTGCGAACAGTCTCTAACCCTGATACTCTTTTGACTACTCGTAAGGCAAATCATATTTTACATAATTTATTTGCTAGTTGTTGAGTATGTGCAGTCAACCTTAGATTCCTATCCAACTAAACTCCCAAAAATTTTGTATTGTCTGTATAATTGATGACTGTATCATAGAGCTTTATTGATGGGCATTCGACTTGTACTTTTTGAGGTTGATGAAAGGATATTGCTGTTGTTTTCTCTTTATTAACAATTAATCTGTTCCTTTCAAACCACTCTGTGAGTGCATTTATTGTTTTATTTATTTTCCTTTGGACATCATTAGCACTATTTCCTGTTACAAGAATACTAGTATCATCAGCAAAAAACGTTGGTCTTCTATGTTCAATGCCGGCTTCTAGATCATTGATATACAGCAAAAAGAACACTGGTCCAAGAACAGAACCTTGTGGGACTCCTTGTCTTATGGGTCTCTTTCGCGATAGTGATTTTATTAGTTTCTTTACATGTGTATGTAATTTCCACTTTTTGTTCCCTGTTTTCTAGATATGATTGAAACCATTTTAGTGCAACCCCTCTTATTCCCATTCTTGTCACCTTCCTTAGTAATATATCACGATCAACTAAGTCAAATGCCTTTGACAGATCCAGAAATGTCCCTATACTTATTTCCCTCTCATCCAATGATTTGTAGGCCCTTTCTATAAACTCTGCAGTTGCAGTATTTGTTGATTTCCCTTTCCAGAAACCATGCTGTTTATTGTTAATTATGCTGTGATTATTCAAAAATGATAAAAGTCTTTGATCTGATGGGAGGGTGATTATGAATGATTAATTGGGATGGGTGTGGTTGCGGCCCATTTTTAAGTGAAGGACAGGAAAACTACAAGCATCATCATCATAATAGTCTCTGAACCAGAAAATGAACCTGGGATTTTCCAAATAGGAAACAGGAGTGTTGACCACTCTACTGTGATGTTTTATTGCTGCCACCTAGAAAATAAATGTTTTGGGCATCACCTAAATTACTATCCCAGCATTAGCATGGAGTAACAGAACTGCCATGATTTCTTGATTGCTCTCTATTCATCTTCATGAAGTGGTACTTGGACGCCTTACTGTTACTTCACATAACTCTTATGAGTGTAAATCCGAAAGCTGTTTTATTGCATTTGATTGCAGGACGACTAATGGTTGGTCTGCGCTGGTGGAATTATATTGACGATGATGGGAAATCACACTGGGTATTTGAAGCAAGAAAGGTTGGAGTAATTAGTTATTAGTTAAGTTATTTGGTTTATACATAGTTTCTGTAGTGCCAGATTATCTGATGCTGTTTCAAGTGTAATGTCATGTGGTCCCTTTTCCAGGGCATCCAACAGAACAGAGTAAACCCATATGAAGCACAAATCTTCTGGATGGCTCTAGTTCTGTGCCCCATACTCTGGGTTATTTTGTTCTTAATTGGCCTGTTTGGCCTTAATTTCAAATGGCTGGTGAGTAAAGAAAAAAGAATGTTATAGTTCTTACAGCACATGCTACATATTGTGGTGCTACTACCATATGTGAAGTTCTGCATTTTGTTGTTTTAATGACAGATTTTGTGTAGGAATTAATCATGAGCTGTTCAGCAAAGATGAATAATGAACCAGTATGATTATATTGTCCTATTTGTGTGAAGTTCTATTTTAATATTATCTTCCCAGCATTGTCTTCCAGGTAGGTTCTTCCTGTGAGGGTCTGCAGTAACAATTTTGTATGTGGTTCTTATTTCCCTCATGCTTATCTCATCAACTTCATACTGCTGGGCAAAGAGTGTAAATTATGAAGCTGTGCATTGTGTAATTTTCTTTGTTCCTCTTCTATTTCATCACTAAACTACCCAAACTTTTTCCTTGGCATCTTGTCCTTGAAGTCTCGGAATTCTTGTTCATAATCTGAACAGCCACACACGTAGAATTTATTTCATGGTAATAACAAAGAAATAAAATAAATTGTGAGAAGGTAGAAAGTTTATGTACACAACCAGTTAAGGGCCCCAGGGTCAGTGATATTATGTAAAAAGTCATAGAATGTCAAACCGTAGAGAGATTCAGAAACAATGATTATAGTGCCAAATCCATGCTTATGTATCTACAGTGAAAAAGGTCATATTGACATTAAATAGCCTTTATAAATGATACAGTGTTATTGAACAGCCTACAAACTGGTCAGCTATTTTGTTGGTAATGAAAATATGAGTGTGAGAATGACAGAATATGTTGTACATCTCTGCTTGTATATGTGTTACAGTTATTAGTGTGCATAGCTATTGTGTTGAATGGCGCTAATCTCTACGGATACATCCAGTGTAAGATTGGACATGGTCAGAAATTAAGCACCTCTCTTACGAATATGTCAACAGACTTCTTCAGAAGACAAGTAATTCAGAATGTACGTATGCACATGTGACAGAGTTTAATTTAGATGTTTAAAAATAAGGGACACTACAATATTATTACAAGATTTTGGTAACATATTTCTTTCATATTTTATTTTGCAGGTAGCATCAATGATGACCAGACCTAGTCCGCCCACAAGTAATATGCCAGGACAAACGAACGTAATATGAATCACCATGTCATCAGATCAGTGAAATATATACCACATGTTTGTGCTGGGTGAAATGATATATATTTCACATACATTGACTTTATTCCTAATTGCAACTGTGATGTTTTAGTTTGTGTAATTAATTTTTATTTACAAAAATACAAAAATATTCCGGTCTAGAACCACGAGATTAACGACCGTGGGTATCCATTGCACTGACCATGCGCTGTTAGTTGGCACTAACTTCGCTGACAAGTGGCAGTCGCTTGGTCAGTATAGTTCGCTTGTGGACTACAGGCCATGGAGTTTACAAAAATTTTCAGACGTTTGAGTACTTTCATGGTGTAAATTTGTACATAGTTTCACCCCTTCATCTGCATTATGCCTTTCTGATTATGAATGCCAGTATGTTTGGTTCTTGGTGAAATATTCACAGCTGTTTGACCACATTAGCCTGTTTAATTTTGTTTGTAAGGTTCATTGACCTTCAAAGCTGTGGACACATTGTAGTGGTTCCATTATTTGGAATACAATTTCAGGTACTTACATATTAATAAGTGAGTCAAGTAATTAATGTTATATTTTAGCGTCCTGTTGCACTGATTTAAGTCCATGATTTATTTAATCCGTCTTGCAGTGCATACACTCATTTTTCTCCTTCTCTCCCTCGCACTACATGTTTCGGCATAATAATGCCATCTTCAGGTGCTTACTTATCCACGTCAAACCAGTTCATTGCATGCCATGTTCACACATTAAAATAACTAAAATATGTATCTATCATATACATTGTCCAACGTTAAAAATATTAAAATTGTTCAGGATACCACATCGCTACGTCGCCCCTCACTACGTCAGTCACGCCCATTCTCCTTTGTTGGAGCACTCCTTCACTATCTTGTGTGTNTCCAACAAAGGAGAATGGGCGTGACTGACGTAGTGAGGGGCGACGTAGCGATGTGGTATCCTGAACAATTTTAATATTTTTAACGTTGGACAATGTATATGATGGATACATATTTTGGTTATTTTAATGTGTGAACATGGCATGCAATGAACTGGTTTGACGTGGATAAGTAAGCACCTGAAGATGGCATTATTATGCCGAAACATGTAGTGCGAGGGAGAGAAGGAGAAAAATGAGTGTATGCACTGCAAGACGGATTAAATAAATCATGGAGTCAAGTAATTTTTAAATATACTGTTATGTTGTCTGCTGGTATACAGTTATTACCAACATTATAGAGAATGACAAAAAAAATGCTTCAATCTCTGTTCAGATAGTTGACACAGATACAAGAGAACTGGTCTGGAAGAAACAAATTTTTAACATTTGAATGTCAGCCTTAAGTACAACTTCACTGACCTGATGACTGACAGGCACATGCAAAATGTGGTCTGGATGTGGGGATAGAGAAAATGGTATAATAATAAGCACTAGGTTTATGAGGTGGAGTCAACTCAACAGCAAGGATCTTATGCCATTTTTTAAACAACTGGACAATACTGTCAGAAGCAGGTGTAATTTTCCTGATTATAATTTGATTTTTTCAATAAAGAAAATGTAGAAGTTGTGCATAAAATTTTTTGGATCACCTGTTAATATGTAAGTGCCCACATCATAATTACCGTATTTACTTCCACAATTTATGTATTTCTTTTGCCCAAAGAATCATGCATGAAAGTTATGCAGAAGATACATGAATATTACTTTTCAGAGTATAATTTTAAATGATAGATTGAGGTGATGGTTGGCAACATGTTATGGATTTTGGTGCCTGTATACTTTTCTTTGCAATTCCTTGATGAACATTGAGATGAAAGTGTTCCTTGATAATGTTTAGATCAATGAATAATGTACGTGGAAAATGCAATTAGAACCTGGATATGGTATGGCAATGCAGTGTGGACAATCATGCTTATGAACTCCATTATGCAGCGCATTGACTAACATTGAGACAAAAGTTTTCCTTGATGTTTTAAGGAACAATTTTCATGGAGACTGCTAATATGGTTCCAGTTCTTCTGTAGGTTATTAATGATGCCTTAAGTATCAAGGCTGTATAGTGTGAGATATTGGGATGACATGAATGATGATGAATTGGAAAAAGAGTTTGGAAGGAAGCATATGTGGCCTGTTGATGGTACTATCCCAGAGTTTGGTTACAGTGACTGAGGAAAACCACAAGAAACCTCAAACAAGAGCAGTGGTATTCTGGCCGAGATCAAACCAAGCACCTCCTGAGTATGAGTCATCCATTACCTCTAGATCAGCCTATTTTATGAGTAAAGTTCATGTCATGTTGCCATAATGAATTTAACTTTCATAACATTTTTCTCAAAAATTATGTTGGTCAAAATTTTATGAAGGGTAAAAATGTGGTATCTGATTTTTTTTTTTAATTTCTCATCTAAAAGTAGAGATGCAAAGATTATGTGAGTAAATATGGTAAGTGCTTCCAATGTATTTTGTAAGTAGAGTTATTCTTTCACCATATTTCTTATATATGATTCCTTATGGGCTATAACTGAATACCAGATTCAGTCCCATTTACCAAAGTATGAAATTATATGTCAATTTAAGGTTTAGTGACCAAAAGATTCAGGATGCAAATTACTGAATATCAGTTCACCATGATATAACACATTTCGTTGCATAATTTGGGCATTTTCTTTTCACAGTTTTGTGATGAAAATCTTTGGTACATGATTCTCAAAAGGATTTATGGAAAACATCCATATTGCTGCCTACTTGACCTATAAGAATGAAAATGTCTTCCCTCTGCCTGGAGGAACTGGGTAGGCCATGTATAGGATTGAGGCAGTCTTCATGTTATCCTCATTGGATCATGTTTCTTTATCGTTACCCTGCTTCTTGTCTGTTGCATTCACATGGCTGTAGTATGACACTGCAGATCATATGATATGTAGAAACAAACGAGACGGCTACACTATACAGCATCACTTCCAAGAACAAGAGAAGATTCTCACTGAACTGTGCTGAATATGACATATTTCAACTTCCTGTGCCCTAGTACCACTGTCTTTGGATTTTATACCTTCTGTTATCCTTTTCAGAATTTAATGACAAGATTTGTCATTCATGTTGTAAGAAAGGAATAAGAGACGTATATCTCCATGTGTCTTCCTTGATCACATGACAAAAAATGAGGGTGTTGTATGCTGCATTTTCCTAAATATTATATGTATAGTTCTCGTAAAAAATCTTGTCATTGTTATAAATATAAATTCATTCTATACAGTAAAGTAGATTGCACCAACTGTATATCATGGAAGGACATTTCTATTTCTTTCTTACAGCAAGAAGATAATGTGCTTTAAACTAGAGTCACAAAAGGAATTGTGATTTGGTTTTTGAAGAATAATGCATTACTATGACAAAAACTGATGATTGATGGGGGTGCCATATGGCTTAAACAGAATATGTATTGATATTTTGTTAATGATATAAAAGGACAACTTAAATTTTGGGAAATATGTGTTATTATCAGATCAGAATCTTTTATCTTGTTACTCTGTAGAAATCTAAAAATTATTGTATATAGAACTGTTATTTTACCTAAGGTGCTGGGATAACTTGAGTCAGTATAAAGACCAGGTTACATGCTTGATGTCCAGTGTTCAGTTTCTGGCAGTGGCAGGAATTGCTTCTCTTCACCACTGCATCCAGATTGACTCAGAACCACTCAGCCTCTTATCTGATGGGTAGCAGGGACACTTTCCTGAAGATGTGTGAAGGTATATCACCATTCCCCCATATGCCTTTTTGGCAGGAACAATTTTATCAACCTTTTTGTTTGCATATTATTCTTCATATGTGTGTAAATGAAGGCCCTTTAGTGTGTGGGAGGAATGCAGATTGAGGATGTTTGAAGCCCTGAAGAAAACATTTGAACCTGAGAAAGAAAAGGAGAATGGCAATAATTACACAATGAGAAGCCTCATGATATTCACTCTTCCCCTAATGTTGTTAGGGCTATGAAATAAAGTAGGGTGAGAGGGGTGGAATATTTGGCATACATAGGGAAACGAAAATACCTGTGCACAGTGTTTTTTCTTGGCATATTGGAGAGTATTCGTATGCTGAGTTTCAACCTCAGGATCAAAATATACAATATGCTGGCAGACATGCAGTTTATTACTTTTGATAAGTTTCACGACACACAAATTGTTTACCAGTATGCATGGAAAAGCACTGCCTGTATATACAAAAGTTTGGTTTGAAAACCTCAAGGGAAGAGATCACTGGTGTAGATGGAAGGATAACAATTGGACACATAAGCTGTGCTAATACCACCTGGATTGAACTACTTTAGGACAGGGGCCAGTGGTGGGCTTCTGTGAACATGGTTATGAATTTTCAGTTTTCATGTAAGCAGGAATTTCTTGACCAAATGAATAACTCAGTGGTTCAAGAAAGTCAGATTCTGCACACTACAGTTATATGAAATAAATATAACTTACAGGAAAATTTATGCATGTTAAGTGTGGGAAAGGCAGTTGTGGTAGTTCTCTGTTTACCGAACACGGTAACAAGAAATTGTTAGTTTCTGCACTAAGATTCTGGTTGAGTTGTGTATATAGAGGACTTTGTATTCTTAATGAGATATGTATGCAAAGAACATTCTTTTCTGTGTACTGAATATAAAGTCTTATCCAGTAAAATAAGTAATCTAGAGCCAAAGCAAGTGGTTGCTGAATAGTTTACTTGTTCATCTATCATGATATTGGCACCACTTGCCAGATAGCTTCAGTTTAATACCAGCCAGATCCTTACTGTGATTTAGAGTAATCATTAAATGGTAGGTGCCTTCAATCCTTTCGGTCATTAAATCAGTGGGAATATCTGAATGCATGTCATGGGAGCTGCTATCTCAGATTGATCCCATTACCTTGCTGAGCAGGCAGAGGCCAGGAAGATCAGTAAGACTAGGACATTCACCATAAAGAAATACTCTAATTACCTGATTATAAAACGAAACCTTTAATTTGTATCTTCTTGCAATAAAAGAGGCTTGTCTTATCTATGAAAAGAAAGAAAAATTAATAAAGTCACATGTGTTTCATATCCAACCCATCTTGTCCTCAATGTATCCTAAACACACATTTTGAATAAGGTAATATTTTATGGTGATGAATTTTTTTAGCTTGACCTTGAAGCTAGGAGATCGTTCCTTGTTGGCTCTTCATGACTGCATCTTTCAACATTTTTGCCAGTATCCCTCAAATTTGGAGGCTGTGTCCTCCACCTTCAATTTAAAGCAATGCCAAGCTGTGGTGACAAGGGTGCAATCAGTATGGGTCAGAATTTTCGTCCTACAGTTTACAAAACTTCTATTCAAGCACATGGAATAATAGGTTCAGTAATGTAAGATAATTATTGACATATACAGGGAACAGTATTGAAATCAAGAATCCAGTAGAAGATACGTAGAAATAAAACATAGTGGTTTTGAGTGAAATTTTTTAAGTGTTCAGTTCTTTGAGTTCCGTCTGTCTCCTATCTTATCACTGCTCTCAGTACAAATGATAAATAACTCATGCTTGCATAGCACACTTTATGTAAAGACAATTTCTTAGATTATTTACTGACTTTTTTCAACTCATAGATTTGGACAAAATCAAAAGGCATTGTCTTTGTGAATGAAGAATTTGAAAATATGTGGAAGTGTTTTTTTTTTTACCTAATCAGTATGATAGAATTATCCAACTCAATCCTACACACTTAAATAGAAAATAGACAAATATACTGTACATAAAATAATATGCACATGTGAAGAAAATAAAATAACATAGGAGTAATCACCACTGTTTATAAAAGTAAATGGAAAGGCCCTGTGTTTAATTAAGCACTGTGCCATGAAGATGTATGGAGGAGTGTGGGTATAGGTCCACAAATTCTTAACGTTGACAATGGATGAAGGTGAGTGAAGAGCTTCATAATCTGGTTGCTTTACCTCTTGGAGAAAAGTCCCTGGTATCATCCATTGGTTAGGAGACTGGGTGGGCTGCTCAGGTGGCCTCATTCTACCAGGAATTTAATGCTTCTCATCCAGACTGTACTGTCACTACACTGACTGAAGTTACTAGGTGTCCATAAATGCTATGGCAAACACAAATAACTGTTCATATCGTAGTGTGAGTTACGTTATATTTAGTAAACATTTTCACAGAATATCTGACATGCATGGGAGAGGTACTCAGTTTGACTGTTAACCAGAAAACTGTTTGTCCTGAGATACACGTTATAAAGTTTAATGCCTCCAGGTGATTGCCTGGATAGTAATGTTCCAGATAAATCTTCTGGACCAAGTTGATCATCTCTTATGTTTTCTATGACATGTTCATGCTAGACATACAAAGGCATCTGCAATATATGAACATTGAGACAAATGAAGGATACAAAACTACAGGAACTGCATTTGGAAAATATAAGTATGGTACTCCAAATGGCATACAACTTTCTGCTATTGTTATGTCTCTGTAAAAAGAAATGCAAACTCAGTTTTTCTAAAAATACACATTTTTGTAACAAATCATATCTTGAAATAGTTCTAATATGGCAGATTATAAATGATACTAAGCCTGTCTGCAGTTCTAACCAGTATATCTTTGGAATGTGCCTGAGTTCATGTACAGGTAAAAAGAAATATTTTATACTGGTTGTAACTACATACAGTATTATCATTATTTATAATGTGCCAAACTACAGCTCTTTTGCAAATTTTGTAAATAGATTGTAAACTGTAATGGCTACCAGCACCACTGCAATGTTGCAAGGTTCATGTGTAAGTGATGAATATTTCCCCAAATTTGCACACATTTTCTATTTAAGTAAGGAATTCAGAAGTTATATATTTCGTACCGTAATGAAATTGAAAATTTTTATCATGTAAAAAAAAATGCCCCAGGTGAGGCTCGAACTCACAACCCCGGCATTGCTCACGACCACTGTCATATAAGTACCGTGCGCTAACCGATTGCGCCACTGGGGCAGTTGCTTGTGAACACCACAATTCTTAGAATTTCAGTCAGAATTATGTTTCACTTATTAAATAATCACATTTCTACATTTTTATTTATTAAATCGATTTAAAATTACTGTCTAGTACATTCAACAACAATAATAATAATAATAATAAAACGTATGATGTATGTAGACTGTATACTATTTACTTGAAACTATGCTATCAAATTCGCTTTCCTTTTGTACAAATCTTAGCATGTTATTATTAATTTTCGAACTACATTGCAGATGGAAAATGTGTGTCGTTATTTTTAATCCCGAAATAAAAAATGTAATGGTGAAAGTTACGTTATTTGTAATAAATCAATTATTGAAATATATTGATGACATTGTTTCCGGTAACTGAGTCGTCTACTGCTTGTGTACAGTGTATTTTGTAAATAAACGTAATGGATACTTCGTTTTTGTTTTCTTTCACTCTCTGCCTGAAATATTTTTTTGTATAATTGTAACTGTCTTGAATAAATAGGTTATTCTCTGTAAAGTCAACATTATCGACTTTAAGGACGACTGAATGTACGTAAACATTTCTGGACAGTGCCTAATCAGCTGATCGAGTAAACCAACGGAAATATATTTTGGTTTTAACGACATGTTATTTACTCATGCCCAAACCCACATATTATCTTTTTAAATTATAATGCGAGGTCTTTTTTTAAAAATGAAAAGTTTGGCTGAAAATAGTGGTCGTGTGCTTGTGTGCAGTTGCTACAGCGAAGTGTGCTCAGGGGCGTATCACATGATGTCTTTTAGGTTATGTTTACTGAGTTCGTGTGATTGAATATGGTGATCATTAAGTTCTGTCTTTTTAACAGGTGGACAAGTTAAATGCATACATAATGAGTTGGTTTGATGCAACTGGATTTGCAAATCTCGCTAAATCTGCTTTGAAAGAAGCTCAGAAAACTATAGATAAAGCACTTGATATCAAGGATGAAGACAGTCATCCCATGATACAAAGCAAACCAACTTCACCAATTAGCCCTAAAGATGATGCAGACAATTTCTTTGCATCTTGGGGTTTGAAGTCTAGTGGAGAAAATGAGACATCCAGTATGTCAAATGAGCATTTGAAGGCTGGATCATCATGCAGTACGGATGCTGATCAGGAGTCATGTAAAGAAGCATCATTGGGATTAAACAGAATGTCATTGAGTTCTAGTCTGTGGGGTTCCTTTACAGGATCCTTTTTTGAAAATCCACGATCAAGCTCAGGTGAATTTTAATACTGGCATAAATTAATATGTGAAAAAAGAACAGTTGGCATATTTGCTACTCAGTTATACTACTCACATGATACTGCTCCCATCAGCTGTAAAATTATTGCTTTAGGAAGTCATTGGGTGATGTGAACAAACTGTAATGGCTGTATTGATAGAAAATGAATCATGACAATTAGAAAACTAAAAGCATCACATATTGTCACTAATGAAACATGTTTAATTCATTTGTACTTCTTACAAAACATTTAAGTTGTCTGAATTTGTTACTTATGATATTAAAGGAATGTAGGCTTTGTTTGAGTTTTAATACTTAGCACAAATTACTGCTGTTTTTCCTGCATATAGGCTATTCAGCTTGTTTCTTAAAGTACTTGGTTGTTTCATATGCTGACTTCAAAACTGTCATAATAGTCCATAATTTTATTTTTCCATACCAATCTACAGCCAATTAACACTTCCTTATAGCTTCAAGAACATTAGATGGATAAACATATATGTAATTTGCTTTGCATGGATCCTGGTTAATTAGGAAGTGGAATGAGGCAATGTCAGATGAAGACAATATGCCAGTCACAGTAGAAAAATCACAAGGCATATGCTGCATAAAGATTTGTTTCTGGTGGGAGGTGCATCATGTATGTAAGATAGCAGTGTGCATATTTGCCATCACTTCATTTGTGTTGAAACTCATGATACAATACACACTGACAATATAATATGTACTGAATAAATAAGATATAATTCATTAGCAGTGAATGTAAGTACTCTCCAAAAAGTATGAATTCTTTAATATTATTTGCTATCATTTATGTTTTCTACCTCAATATGTGACACAGATAATCGATAATTGATAATAGATGATTATATGACAGGTAGGGCTACACTCTTGGCCATCGTAGCTTCCTGTATTTTGCTATCTTAAAAATATTTTGGACTTAACGTAAATCACAAAGTGTGTCATTATTTAATATCTTAAAATTGCTCACATCATTACCCTTAACATAAAACGGTGTTCTGAATACTTGCCACTTATTTTGTTTATTTTGAGTGTTTTCAGAACATATGAGGGCTATTCAAAAAGTAATCTCCAGGTAGTTGTTAACAAAACAAACAACATGAAAAAATTTTATATGTAAAAAATATGTACATACTTATGCTGCTTCTCAGTGTAGTTACCACTGGAATTTAGGCACTTTTCATACCAGGGAATAAGCATCTGTATGCCTGTGTCAAGGAAGTCTTCCGCCTGTGAGCTTATTCATGTTTTTACACCTTCCATGAGCTCCTCATTATTATTGAAGCGCTGTGATCTCAACCAGTTCTTCAGGTAGGTAAACAGGTGGTAGTCGCTCCGAGCGAGATCAGGGCTGTAAGGAGGGTGGTCAAACAATTCTCAGTTTAAATGCTCCAGCAGTTTTCAAGTGCAAGTAGCTGTATGCGGATGCACATTGTCATGGAGGTGCATTACACTGGATGTCAGCATTCCACAGCTTTTGTTCTGAATGGCCCTGTGCTTCTTTTTTGGCAGTGCTCGTTTGATGTTATTGTGGTCCCTTGTTGCATGAATTCCACCATCAGCCCTCCCTTACTGTCTCAGAAAGCAGTTGCCATCAACTTTCTGGCAGGAATACAACGTTTGTTTAAACTTTTGTGGCTTGCTTGGCTAATGTGTGTTCATTCACTGCTGTGACTGCTCTTAGGTTTCAGCAAGCACAAATGAAACCCAGGTTTCATCACTTGTTACTCATACAATGCAACTGAGAAATTCTTCACCATCTTTGTGGTATCACTCTAAAAAAGTCAAAACCATTCTCTGCATTTTGTGTGTGCCTGTGAGCATTTTCGGGACCTGTCTTGCACAAAACTTGTGATAGCCAAGCCTAACTGTGATCATCTTGCCGAGAACAATGCATGAAATTTGTAGAACTTCACATGAAAATTGTGAAATTGTTAAGAGCTGTCTCTCACAGATTTCTGGTTAACACTTTGAGTAAGATCGTCACTGACCATGGTTTTACAGTTCCTTGCTCCACATTTTGGCTGTAAACTGCATATAATTCATAATGGATTTGTGCAGAATTCATGCAGATAACAGTGCAGAATTATCAATTGCAGGACACGTCATGACTCACTCTGTAGAGACAAGAACAAACACTGTATGACCAATTATGTGATGATGTACAAGGCAATGATGAGTCATGTGACACTACCTCACATGTGCAAGTTCTGCCCTGATTCTACATTAGTTGCTTAAAATAAATGGAGGTTACTTTCCAGATAGCCCTTGTAGATGGAATGATAAATTATTTGTAGGTGAATAATAAACATATTCTAGAATTTGACCTTTTAATTTCATGATGAACATCACTTCTGTTATTGACCTTCCATGTGTTTTAATTCTGAAATACTTTTAACTGATATGTTATTTATAATTACATTAAATAGTAATATGAGAAAGTTCTAGGACAGAAGTGAGTACAGCAAAACATGAACTTTTCAAGTTCTGAATAAGTTCACCCGGAAACATGGTTTAAACCTGAAAACCTGTATGACTGGTCAGTTCTTTACTGAAGCAGAAATAGGTGCTCAACAGAGAGTCTTGCAATGTCTGTTGTATCGTGAATACAAATAGCAAATATTGTTCTCATATGAAATGTGGGAACTATTCTGGTAACCTGATGCCCCTATATGCTTAATCTATAGCAAGTTGCTGATGCATTCATATTTCATTGGTAAAGGAATTGTGCAGTGAAGTTTATATGAACTCTTTATATATTAAGATAAATAACTAGCCTATAAGTAAAAGTAAAAAAAAAGTAAAACAATCCCTGTAATAGGCCGTGAAGGCCCATAGGGTTGTGAGACTTGAGGTTCCCACATTATCTAGACAGTCGACTCAAAGATGGCGGTAAGGTTGTGTCAGCCTTAGGCGCTGGCTGTGCTTTAGTCCCCAGGAAAATTATTTAATTAATTCCTGGTACTCATTTCTGTTAGAGGCTGAGTCGACCCCAGGGTCATAGTGCGGCTGGAAGGATCAGGTCAATTGAAAAAAATCCAGTGACCTCATCGGGGACTTTAACCTGCAACCTTCTGGCTTGTAATATAGCCCCTCAACCAACTACGCTACCGCGTGCCCCCAAATAACTAGCCTGTAGTAACAGAAATCTGAGGTTCAACTCCATTAATACCAAAGCTGCCATTCAGTACCATTCTAAGTCAGTTCTGTCCATCTCCCATCATCACTTCCTACTTCCAAAATATGTATAATGTTACTTTATAGTTTTCCTGAGTTTTCAAGTGGTTTCCACACAAAAATTCTTATCTCATTTCTTGTCTCCCCCATAAGCCATGTGTCTAGTCATTTATACTGTCCTAGATATCATTATCCTAAAAATACTAGATGACCTCTGTAAATTACAGAGTTGCACATTCTGTAATATCCCAGAATTTGCACTCACTTCTTTCCTCTTAGGTCTGCATGTCTTTCCGAGCACTTTTTTTTCAGACAGTAGTAATATACATCTTCCCAGACAAGTGCTTTCTTATACATTTCTGTGTTAAATACAGGTGGCTGTGTACCACATAAATTGGATGATGGGGAATCAGATCCTGTTTTCAAGCAGCCCAAGAAGATAAGTCTTTTTCGAACTTCTTCTCTGAATCAGGACCCAGCTACATCAGAGAAGGAGAGGACTTTAGATAGGAAAAGTAGCTGGGATCATGCAGATTTGTTCAAAACTTCGGACAATGAAGAGGTTGGACTCTGCGATGATTTTAGTGAATTGGGAGTTGAGGAAGGTTTCAATCGGAGTAAACTGGTTGTTGAGAGTGAAGATGGAGATATGGGGGTTCGTTCTAGGCTGTCTAGTTGTGAGGCTGATGAAGAGCGGACTTTTGAAGGGGAGAATTTTGGTAGAGTTCGGAGTATTGATATTTCTGAGGTCAACATGGAGGAAGGCGAAGCAAGGGAAACATATGCACAGGATACATTAGCTGTAACTCAAGACAGTTGTGTTCCACTAGAGATCGTAAAAAGGAGAGAACCTTCAACAGCTGGGAGCTGCAAATACAACAGACTGTCTGTGATTTCATCAGAAAGTGACAAGAAGTCCTCAGAGAGTGTTGAGGTGCTAGGTTCAGCATGTAGTGAGGGAGGTAGCAGTTTCACCACTTCTCCTGAAACAGATCTACCACTGGTCAGTCCTGGGATGTCAGCATCATCATCAGCGATTGGACTGGGATTGTCAGTGGAAGCCAGTTCACCAGACTCAGTAGAAGTGATACCAGATACACCCAGTTCTGTGGAGATCATTGGAGAAGAATCCAGTGGTCGAGCATCTAGGACTACTATGTCATCTTCACCTTATGTTTCTCCAGATGATACTCAAGATCCATCCAGAATTCTTGCCATTGTTACTCAGCCAAATTCAGAACAGATCTCACTTGCTCTGGACAGGTAAGGTGCCAGAACCAGCCTAGGGCTAGAGGTAAGATTTTCGTATCCGAAGACGGAAAAAGAGACTGCCTGGGACCAACAATAAGGACAAATTTATCGGGAGAGCCAGCCTAGGACTAGTAATAAGAACTAGCCTTATTGAAGAGGAGCTGCAAGGTAGGCATCCTTTCAGTGGAAACAGAGGCAGCCTCTAAAATATTTCATATCCTTCTATCCACATAATGAAAGTGTTCATAATAAATATTACTATGACATTACTATACTATTGCCAAACACCTTCCAAACTATACTGGGAAAATTTAACATCAGACCAGGTATACATTATTTTAACTGTAAATTGGCTGGGAAGAGAGAGGAGTTGTTATAATCTGTTTTAAAATATTACCAAATAATTTAGCCAAAATAAAACTAAAAAATTCAGGCTAATTTTCCAGTCCCAGGATTTGAACCTTGGACCATCTGCATATGGGCAAACTATTCTGCTGCATAGCTAACTTTTATACTTCTTATTTTAAAATTTCAAGGAGCACTCTTCATTGTCAGACAGTCATGTAAGGCCTTCTGGAAGGGTAATACTTATATGAGGCTTTTGATTAACATTTTGACTTCCTCATTGAAAATCTGACAGTGGACTAAAAGTGCCTATTATTTTTCTGTTATTGTTTCTGTGAATCCATGTTATGGAAATATGCCTCACTTCCCATTTGATTTAATAACCATGGTTTAATATTTCTCAGCCATCTCCACATGGCAGTACACTAGAATATGTTTCCGTATCTCAAGGTAGTGAAATTATTATAAACCTGTATTTGTTCTAACCTGTATTCATATTATTATTCATATTTTGTAATGTTTTTAATTTATGTAGTTCTCACCCTGCTTTCTTTTCATAAGGGGGAATAAAGGTGTATGCTTATGAGATCGCCATGCCTGATGCATGTCCCAAAGTCACAGCTTTTAACTTCCATCAACCAATGATAGCAACATAGTAAACACAAACTTGTGAGGTGGGGATAACATTTATGCCTCTAATATAAGGTCTTGAAATTATGTATGGTAACAGATCTTTGAAAACTTTGCAGTTTCTCTTTAAATATTTTTTTTGTATGACATTAGGCAAGAAAATACTCATGCAGAAATTGTCATTTAGCTTCCAGCTTGGTTGTTGTAACTAATGCACCAGTGGAAACATATAATAATTGGCATGAAAGTGGATTATATTTATGAGTTTTAGATTAACAATTGAAATATGGTGATAGTGCAATGACAGGTTTAATATCTCAGAATCTGTAAGTAATACGATTTTCCCCAAAGAAAATGATCATGATATAGTAACACAAATAATAAACATATTTACATTTTCAAAAAATAAAATAAATACAGATTTAGTAGAATTTGATCTTATGACCATCATCTCACAAGCTCAACATGCTATCCAATCATCTAAATTGTATTTTATTAATGAGGTGTAAACTTATATCACCTAAATATAATAACAGAAAATTTGGGAGACCAGAAGTCTGTACAGCAGGAAAGTAGGCTCTACAAGTTCTGCCCAGAACCCCTTGTTTATCACATACATTATAATTCATAAAAGAAATTAATAGATTAAAAAATTTAAGGAATAGACAAAATCATGGAGGTTGAAAGTGGCTGTTCTGAAAGAGCACAATATTAAAAAAATAAAAATAAATATGGAATATAAAAAAAAATACATTTTGTAAACTCTGAAACACATAATTAAAATTTAAATACACATATTTCAATACTGATTTGCATGCTTCAGTTCCAGAATTGCTCAGTAGATTCCACTGCAGTTTGTTATTTAGTGCCTGTAAATTTTGTTTAAGACATTTTTTAATATATTACATATGTAATGAAATGTCAGTAAAATTTATTTGTGCACTTCATTCTGTGTAATATCTTAACACTTTTAAAATACAGTGGTAACTCATGTACCACCTGCTTTAACATTAAAAGCTCTGTATGGTTCTTGCAGTAGACAGTATTTCTGTCCTTTTATGTTATGAATGTAGTAGTATGTTCCATGTAAGGCGGGAACCAAATTTTTATATATTCTTTAGATGCATTTCATGCTTCAGAGAGTTAACTGTTGACTAATTTAAGAATAGAACTTATGGCTAAATGCTGAATGGTAGCTTTAATATTGAATAAATTTCTCTCTGTGATGAAGAAATGCCAAGACTCTGAATAGTGATACAGAATCGTAACAAATGCATCAATAATGTACTACATACAGTCTTTGTTTTGATCACTCCCACCTTTACATATTCAAGCTTTTTAACAGGTACCAGCAGCAAGAAAGAAAATATGATGTAGACAAAGTATCACCAGATAGTGTGGAAGTTATACCAGAAGAAGAAGATGATGAAGAAGATATGAGTGTTGCAGATGACAGCTACACCTCTGCATCGGAGAGTACCACAACTGCCACTACAACCATCATAGAACAACCTCCTGTCCCATTTACTTCTGGAGGAAAGACAGATTCTGATGTGTCCAGGTCTCCACATCACAAGCCATACTCTGTAGCTGAGCCATCCTCTAGCAATGAGAGCTCTCTGTACTCTAGTACTGTCAGTGTTAAAACTGATTCAGGAGACATGAAGTCACCTCTTGCAAGTACCAAATCTTCACAACATAGTTTGTCACTGCTAGATTCATCTTATAATGAGAGTTTAATTTCAACAGAAGTCCAATCAAAAAGCAAGGTTGAAGAGCCAGTTTTAACACATGGTAGTGGCAGAACTGGCCTGACACTGCTACTGACCCATGGGGATGTGGCTCCAGTAACTGCATTGGTATCAACAAGTGAAGAAGGGGCTGTGTTTCTGGACAGTCAGACAGAGAGTGATGAGGTGTCATGTAAGGTTGGAACCTGTGCCAATGATTCTTCTAATGAAGAAGGAAGTTCCCTGTTGTCAGATAGTCGAACATTAATACCCACAGACAGCAGCTGTGATGGTACATCTGCACTGGAGAGTAGCTCTGAAGATACTACGGGTACCGTGGTGGCCGATGATTCATCAAATGAAGGAAATTCGAAGCTGACACTCCAGCAGACAAGCTCATACTATGTGAAAACGATGTTAGCAGATGCAATGGGAGAAGAAGTTGTGAAAGAATCAGGGACAGAACAGTTGATTCCAGCCAGGGACCAATCACCAATATCCTCAGAGAGGTTTGTGCCACAAGTTATTACTTAAAAAGAGCCACACCATGTTGATTTGATACTAAGTACTGCACTGCACTGAACATTAGAGTCTTCTGGATTGTATCACCATGTAAGTTCAGAGAAACCCCAACATTTCTGAGGAGCATATCACCTCCATCTTCAAGGTCAACAAGTAAGCCAGGCATGAACTGGCAGTTTTCAAAACTACATGGCATTACAACCCAGAATACTGTACTCTTTATGATGTACTACTTGTATACTGGTTCCTTTGGATGGCATGACTGAATGGTTAGCATTCCTATGTATGGGAGGTTCTGAGCTCAAATCTCATTCCTAGCACTGACAAATACATTTTTTGTTTTCCTCTGTTCTACCAGGCACATGCTAGAACAGCACCATAAATTAGGCCATGACCACTTCATTCTAACTGATCGTTCACTAATTGTTCTTTCAACACCACCATTCCATTCTCAGATCCCTCAATCTGCATTCTTCCCTTGAGGTGAGAAACCAAAGTTTTACACCCATATAAAACAAATAGGTACCTTTTGTTCTATAATTTGAAGTAGTTTCTTGATGTTTAAATGATGTTTTCTTCCTTACTAGCCACTCTGATATGGTGAAAGTCGAGTCAGAACAGACCAGTGGTCACACATCAGGTGATGAACTGGAGACTACCACTTCTTCAGATATTGAGATTATTTCTAGGTAATAATAAATATGCTGTTTATTATCATTTGGTAAAGTAACAATAACAAAATGGTATGCATATCTAAACTTTTGTTATTGGTTTAAAAGTAGTTTGTAAGTTAAGGTAAAATGGTAAGGCTATTCCTGTGCTGAATGAATTAAGCACTGTGCCATGAAGACAAATGAGGACCCTTGATTTTCAAACATTTGACATTGTTTAGAAGAAAACCACCAAGATTCTAATGGAAGCTGACTTCCAATGCTGATATGATGCATTGAAAATTCGCTGGGCCAATTGTCTTTTATCGGAGGGATGTTATTTTGAAGGGGACAGTGTTAATTTAGATGAATAATTGAATAAATGATTTTGTGCAAAATTAATCTCATTACTTTGTTAACACACATCATATGAGTATATGTAGATGTATTCTCCAGTGGAAAAGTATTTTTCATTGGCTTATTGCATTTGGCTGAGTTGTCTTGATCTTAGTAAGCTCTAAGATGTCATGATCTCTGCAGAAGCACAAATCTGTTGGAGAATACTATCTTCTGAAATGTGAAGATGTGACATTATTTAATGTGCTAAAAATTTACTGATGTTTTGGAGAAATGTATCGCAAGCTGGAGATGCAGACTGCAAGACTGCATGGTCTCACATCGCAGAAGATAGTATTCTTGATACTCACCACTGTAAGAATCTGAGGTCCCACTTACTCATTATTTACGTCAGAACAGCAGTCAATTGCCACTTACTAATGATGGTTGTGATGAATGTGATAGTCCAAATGGTGACAGCAGTAGCACCCAGTCACGCCAGAGTCCAGCCAAACTTCTTCATAGTGCAACAAGAGGAAAGTTAGTGTTAGCAGCAGAACGCTCGGATTCCCCTGGCACAGATCCACTGGGAAAGACAGCAGGCGGAAAAATTAAAGGTAAGAATGTTTTGATATATGAAGTGGACTGTATACAATGTGTCATGAGTTCTTAAAACTGTNCTGCAGTATAGTCATGGAAACATCATGGTTTATTTTAAGTTGTTATCAGTCAGAAAATTGAGAAGCTATTTCAAGGAAATAGTAACTCTGGTCTAGAAAATCGAAATTAACGTCCATGGGGATTCATTGTGCTGACCGTGAAACACCCTCTATCTGTTAAAGTTGGCTCTAACTTTGCTGACAAGTGGTGGTCTCTTGGTCGGTATATTTTGCTTGTTTTGTCAGTATCTAGACTATACAAGTTGATTCTAAATTATTGTCGGGGTTTCCTTGACCTATGAACGGAAATAATAATTTAGAATTTAGAATCAGCCCATATATCGCCAAATAACAGGATGATTAATGAAGGATAAATTGGAAAGGATTTGGAATGAAGTGGTCACGGCCTAATTGAGGCACTTTCCTGACAGTTGCTTGGAATGACTGAGGAGAACTGGTGTCATGGCCAAGATTCAATCTGTGCATCCCCCAGATACATATCTAGAGTGTTACCAATAAACCAACCCACTTGGTCACCTAGTGGAGGTTCTTGTTATACGAGACAAGCAATACCAGTCCTTGGATCAGGAAAGTTCAGCATTGCTCATATTATCCATGTCTTACTGTCCATATTAAAAACAAGAAAATACTTCACATTCATTAGTGACAAATTATGCAAGTAACTCACTGGTAATGGAACCTGAAGAATCAGTACTATTAATAGCAAAGCCTGACATTGGACATGGTCCTGCTGCAATAGTACTTTGAAATACACCATGACTCCTTCCTTCCCAGTCCTTTTAGATTCACCAGACATGATGATCCTATCATATCATTTGATGTTAAATAACTGCTGCAGTTGACATGAAGCCATAAAATAACTTAGGATGTCTTCATTCATCTTATACAAACCTAAGCGAGATGAGTTGTCAGCTTCACTCTCCAGCCACGTTACCCCTTGTACCTGTCATACAAGGGTCTGGGTACATAGCACAGAACTCTTCTAGGCTTTATGTTGAAGAATAAACTCACTTCTTATACTGGGAATCAAGAATTTGATCATGCACTCAGTAGCTGGGCCCTTTACTGATTGGGCTATTCTAGCTCACAAGAAGTCCTTTACATTTTCCAGGATTACAGTTTCACTGTAGATGTCTTCTGTTATCATGTAAGCATGTGGCATATTTCTTACAGGCCATCAGAGAGAGTTATCTGAGACATCTAGTGGAGGGTCGGATGACAGTCATTGTTCAGAAGTTGAAAAATTGACGAAGGTAAGAATAGGCATGTTTAAAAGTACTGAAATCAAGTATTTATAAGTATTCTTTATTTGTTTTGACATTATCAAACAATATTTATTTCTTACATTGAAATATTAAGGTTATTTGCTGTCTTTTGGCATTGGACATTGTTGGATATTTATGTTTATCATATTTAAAATTCAGATTTATTTGCTGTTTGTCAACATTTGACGTTGTTAAATAATATATATTTTTTGCAGTGAAAATATAAGGTTATTTTCTGTTTTCAGTATAAGACTCAGTTGAAAATTAATATTTTTCATACCTACAGTTCATTGTTATCTATTGCTTTTTGCCACTGGACATCGTAAACTAATTTTTGCTTTTCACGTTGAAATTCAAATGATTTGCTGTTTATGTTATGAATAAAATTCATTTTGTCAATATTTTCAGAAACAGTTTGAGTTAAATAATATTAAAATATATTTTTCATGTATTGTTACTTTACCACATTGGGTATCCTTAAAGAATGATTAGAACGTAATACATTCATGTTCTGTTTTTCCAGAGGATAGCAGAAATGACAGAAATTCTAGAAGCTAGAGAGTTGAAACTGATTGAAATAAGTCGCATAAATGTGGAACTTGAAGAGAGTAATTCAGATTTGAAAAGGTATTTCAGTCTTCTTATTATGTGACGTTTACTATTTGAAATAAATTATGCAGTGGTTCTGTGCTTTAGTCCTTTTAGCTTAATTGTGTTTGTTAGTGTTATCCATAACCATTGTGGTGCTGTTTGTAGAAGAGCATTACATTAATAGAAGATGGAATCTACTGAGTAGTGGCAGCTATGTTTATACCACAGCACTGAATGACAGTCAACAACACAGGCATGCCAAAAAGCTTTTGAAGTTATGTTTTCCTCTTGATGATGTCTGTATACAAGGATTTTAATTTAGTTAAAAAGAGAGATAAAATGATATAAAAATGGAATTTTAATTCTATACCATGCATATTCATTAGAAACTGGCAAAATTCAATGTTTTCTGTCATGTTTAAAATGTAGCATATAAGGACATTTTAAGTTGAAGAGTATGATCATCTATGTGTTCTTTTGTAGTTTATTTTATGACACTGTCAGTAGCTCACATTGTATAGTGTAACATGGTAGGATAATTGATGAATAATGAATTGGAAAGGAGGTACACCACAGCATTTTCCTGGAGGGGCCAAGGAACACCACAAAACCCTCAGAGAGGACGAACAACTTCCCAGCCAAGTACCTCCCAAATAGAGCTAAAGAACATTACTGCTACACCAGCCTCTTTGGTGGTCCCATAGTCTGGTAGAAGCATACCAATGTTTTGGTGGGTAGCAAGCAGAATGCTTGTTGCTTGCTTGGCTCATTCTTCAAGGTGGAGGCATTATGTTCCTCTGAAGCAGTGGTAAATTTATACCAAGCTACATGGTATCACATCTCATAAGATAGTACGCCTTATAGTCAGTGCAGTGAGAACCTAAAGTTTCAGACATTTTGAGTTAATTGGTCTCACAATGTAAGCATATGGTGAATGTAAGTGATGTGGCAGAGGGTTAACTGTACTCTTTAGTAATTATATGTAAAAGAAAATAAATGGAATAATGTAGGTACTTTAATACTTTCTTACCCCAGTCAGCTGGAGGCCACAATGCAGTCACAAGCTGCAGAATCTCAGGATATACATCAGATCACAGAAGAATATACGCAGAGATTGTCAACACTGGAACGCAAGTTTCAGCAGGCTATAAGAGAGAGAGAGACACTTTGGAAACAGCTAGAGGTTTATATTTTACTTTTCTTAGTTTTAGACCGTTCCATTGTAAGCTTCTTACTGATCTTATTACCAAAAATAAGATGTATTATATACTAAATACATACGGGGAGCCCCAAATTACTGTTAATTTGAGATTTTCTTCATCATAGTGTTCAAATTCTCTGCTCCCAAGAGAAACCTTAAACAGGGCACTTCATGATATAGTGACACCTTCCATCGAAGGTGGGGTAATGATATGACCTCACCAGATATTTTATACATCTAGGTACCATATCAAAAATTTATGATAAATTTGAAAAAGATATTGGAAAATTAACATTTTTATCAATGGTTAAGAAATAAATAGTTTTTACTGAAATTTCAGGGTATTACAAAAGATATATTTGAATAGTTGTATCTGCAAGTCCGATATATTTTGCACTAGTATGGTGCACCACAGAGCACTGCAGGCTCTGGCTTTTTTTCTGAGAAATCAGATATCTGTATAAGGGGCAGTCAAATGAAAATGGGTCACCACACATAACTCACACAGTGCACAAGTTGTTAACACTGGAATTTGCTTACAGTGTGAACATCCGGTGGGGACTTGGGAAAGCACAGTGACAACGTGCCCTTGCACACTAGTCATTTGTTTATTGTGCTGGAAGTAAGGTTAGTGCTACGTGTGGTTGTCCAACATCATTAATGGAGGTGGGTAAAGAAGAACAGTGAAGTTTAGTGCGCTTTTTGACTGCTGAAGGAGTAGGAGGATGAGAAATTCATTGTCGCATGTCTGTTGTTTATGGCGAACACAGCATGTCACCTTTGCATGTGCTGGCATGGCATAAGAGATTCCAAGAGGGACGTGTGTCACTGCAAGATGCTCCCCCAGGACAGGCTCATCGTGTCATCGCTCCTGATGTTATTGCTGCGTTGAATGTTCATATCCGGGCAAACTGACGGATCACTGTGGAAGAAATTAGTCATTTGATGGGAATAAGTCACGGTTCCGTACATGCAATTGTGACCAAACACCTGCTGTACCGCAAAATCTGCGCTCAGTGGGTTCCACATCAACTCACAGAGGAACAGAAGACTCAGAGAATGGCTGCATCTCTGGGTCACTTGCAACGATACCATGAGGAAGAGCATGCTTTTCTGTCCCGTATTGCCACTGCGGATGAAATTTGGTGCCACCATTTTGAACCCGAGAGCAAACAGCAGAGCCAACGGTGGAAACACGTGAATTCTCCACCCACCGAAGAAATCCAAAGCCGTACACACAAGTTCCAGTAAAGTGATGATGACGTTCTTCGACTGCATGGGCCCTCTCCTTGTCGAATTTCTCGAGCATGGGACTGCAATCAGTGCACAGCGCTATGAAGACACTTTGCAGAAACTGAGATGGGCCATAAAGTCAAAACGCCCTGGAATGCTACCGAACGGCAGTATCCTTCTTCATGCTAATGCACGCCCCCACTGCCAATTCTGTGAGGAGCTACAGAGATTCGGTTGGGAAGTGCTTCACCATCCCCCCTACAGCCCAGATCTCTCCCCATGTGATTTTCACATTTTTGTGTCTCCACCTTATCGTGGTGAGGGGGTTTGAGTATGCCAAGGACCCTGAGAGCTATACCAGCGGTAGCGTAGCTACTGGCAGGACCTCCCTTGCTGGACAGGTCAAAGGGTAGGCATCAGACGAAGAGACACCAAAAACTGATGCCAGAAGCAGCGTCATCAGTAGCGACTTGAAGCACAGAGCAAATGATGCTCGAGATGGTTCAAGTTTGAATAGCAGCAGGCGTGACCAGAGTGGTCTGAACAGCTGCTGTACTGTGATGTGGAAAGCAAATGGAAAAACTACCACATTATGACTTTTCCTGGATAGTCTCTTTCCAAAAACAGAGATACCATGTATGCGAGATGTTTCCTCTGGAGACAAAACAATCCAGAGGTAAACTACTCCCCCAATCGGATCTCCGGAGGGGAGTGTTTCTAGAGGAAATGTCACGCAGGCGTTACAACAAGAAAAAGTGCGTAGATCAGAAGGAACATCACGGCTACAAGATTGGAACATGGAATGTAAGGACCTTGAATCAAGTAGGCAAATTGGAGAATTTGAAAACGGAAATGCAGAAGAATGAGGTGTCTGTTCTAGCTGTCAGCGAAGTGCGGTGGAAAGGACAAGGTGATATAAGAAGTGGTGATTATACAGTGTATTATTCTGGAGATGAACGGGCTGAAAGAGGTGTGGCAATAGTGGTGCATAAAAGTGTAGTGAGGAGTGTTGTTAAGAAGATTGTTTGTAATGACAGAATTATTGCTCTGAAGTTAAAGGCGGAACCGGTAGATATACTGATTATGCAAGTGTACATGCCAACATCAGAGTATGAAGATGATGAAGTGGAAAAAGTGTATGACACAACTGAAGAAATTCTTCAGGAAGATGGAAGGGGTGACACAAACAGCATCATATTAGGAGACTGGAATAGCATTGTTGGAGATGAACCATATCAGAATATTGTTGGATCACGTGGACTAGGAAGACGGAATCACAGGGGTCAAATGCTTATTGACTTTTGTGAACGAAATGGACTGATTGTCACCAACACTTGGTTCAAG